GGCGGGGCTGCACCCGGCCGAGCTGCCGCTGGCTGCCAACACCCCAAGTTGCAATTCCGTTCAGCACACTGCCGAGTGAGGGCCGTCTGCCCGGGTGGTGCTGCTGCTCGGTGCCGCAGGAGCGTCTCCACGCTAGCCTGGAGAGCTCGAAGTTCCAAGTGTGGATTTGCTGAACATGTATCATTTTCATGCCACAGTGAAGTCGAATCATGTCAGGAAGTCCTAAGTCAGGACTTCCATCATACACTGAAGGTTTACTGAGAGTAGATTTCAGGTGCTCTTGCCGAGAAGCAGAGGTAATTGTGGAAGGTACGGGCGTTTAATTTGCTTGACTGTCATGTCACCTCACTAGGAATGCGTTTATCAGAACTCTGTGCTGTGCACCTTTAAACGTGTGCCGTTTCAAACCTGAGCCCAGGGGCTGTGGCGTTGGGGTTGACCACCTAAATAGGGTCCGTGCCAGAGAGGCGTGGGAGCCAGGTGGAGCCAGGCCGCGGGCTGGTGGGGCCGGGACGAAGCTGAGCCTCTTCCAGCTGCCGGCACGTGCCCTGCCACGGGTGCCTTAGAAACCTGCTGTCTCTGTCCTTTCCAGACGAGCTCCTTCAGGAACAGCGGGCAGACATGGCCCAGTTCACCGCCTCCATCTCCGAGACCCCTGTGGACGTCCGGGTGAGCTCGGAGGAGAGTGAGGAGGTGCCGCCATCCTACCCCTTCCACCCCTTCCCGTCCTTCCCTGAGGAAGAAGGTGCGTATGACCGGCAGGCAGCGCCACTGCTGGGGTGGGCCGGGAGGGCAGAGTTAGGAAACGATGCCAGTGTTTAGAAACCGGGTCGAGTCCTGGTGGGAGTGCGGGGGCGGAGGCAGGCTTTGTGGGGCACCTATGGTGCCAAGGGCAGGCTGGGTACCTCGGGGAGGTGGCCCACTGGCCCTGTGTCAGACGGGTCGTTTCACTACTGTCCCTCCTGTGTGCGAGGTCTCCTGTGGGCAGTGCAGCTATGCTGTGGCATGCATGGCACCTTCTCGGCAGGTGGGTCGTTTCTCCACTCTCCCTCCTGTGTGCGAGGCCTCCCGAGGGCGGTGCAGCCATGCTGTGGCATGCATGGCGCCTTCTCGGCAGGTGGGTCGTTTCTCCACTCTCCCTCCTGTGTGCGAGGCCTCCCGAGGGCGGTGCAGCCATGCTGTGGCATGCATGGCGCCTTCTCGGCAGGTGGGTCGTTTCTCCACTCTCCCTCCTGTGTGCGAGGCCTCCCGAGGGCGGTGCAGCCATGCTGTGGCATGCATGGCGCCTTCTCGGCAGGTGGGTCGTTTCTCCACTCTCCCTCCTGTGTGCGAGGCCTCCCGAGGGCGGTGCAGCCATGCTGTGGCATGCATGGCGCCTTCTCGGCAGGTGGGTCGTTTCTCCACTCTCCCTCCTGTGTGCGAGGCCTCCCGAGGGCGGTGCAGCCATGCTGTGGCATGCATGGCGCCTTCTCGGCAGGTGGGTCGCAGTGTGGGGCAGGAGCTATGACCGACTCGAGCCCCATCTGAGACCTGAGGCGGGGACAAGGATCTCTGTCCTCTGGTTCCGGTCAGGCCAGCACTCCTCTGCCCCATGCTGGTCTTCGGTGCCTGGAAGTATCCCTCAAAGCTGGGAGTCTGTACCAGAAGTAAGCAGGCTGTTGGCACAGGGGCCGAGCCCAGCGCGTGTGAGCGGGTCCGCCTGCTGCCGGCGGTGGCAGTGACAGGAGCAGCGCGCAGCCACACAGCCCTCGTCGGCGCTGCCCCGAGCTGGCGTTTCACACGGCACTCACTTTTCCTCCTCGGTGCATTGCCCTTGGGAGTCGCGAGGTTTAGGGAGACTAAGTCACTCGCCCAAGGCCATGTAGCTTGTAGGAAGAAAGAGGGTTGGAACTCTGGCCGTGGAGGTCCCGCGGTGGCCGCAGCAGTCATGGGCCTCTGACAGGCCTGGGGGCTCTGGAATATCGGGCTCGAGGAGGTGCGGGGGTGCGTGTCCCAGCCGTCAGTGCACAGAGATGCTTCATCCCGTCCTCGCAGAGGCTCAGACTCAGGGCCGTCGCCCCCGCAGTAAGACAGGCTCTGAGAAAGCAGCAGCTGCACCGGGGGCACCGCCCGCTCCTGAGCCCCCCTCTCGATCCTGACCCTTCACGGTGCCAGGCTGCCGGGCCTCGGCAGCTCCCGGTGCCCACTCGGCCTGGCGCAGCCCAGACACGGCTGGACCTGGCCTGTCCCCCAGACCATGGTCACGCTCGCCGCTGCGTCTGCAGGAAGACAGTTTAGGCTGAATCCTTCAAGAGTGTCCCACAGGGTCCCCACAGAGGCCCGAGGCAGACCGCCTGCCCGCTCCTGTCGTTGGGCTGCCTCAGGTGACTTACTGTGGCTTTACTGCTGATGTGTTCATGGGGCTTCTCAGGCCTGGTTTTTTGTTTTATTCATTTATTTACTTATTTATTTTTAAGAAAAATGCATTTGGTTCACATTATAGAGAAATTCTAAGGTAGGAATTTTGAAAGAATCTGTTTTCTTTCTTAATCTCCTGTGTGCTATTTTGTTTTTTATTGTTTTCCTTTCTGCTAGACACTCAGCCGGAGTTGTTCCACCCAATGAAGAAAGGTTGGTTGTCACAGATGTCCCCCGTGTGTCAGAGTCTCATTCTCCATCTCATGTCACCTCATTTCCTCAGCACAGATGGCTGTGAGGGGCCGGCACGGCCCGCTCCCCCGCGCGGCCCCCTGGGCTTTCCGGGGTGCACAGAGCTTGCAGTAGGCAGAGTAGGTGCTGCCATTAGTCCCTCAGGCTGGGTCGGCCGAGGAAGCCTCTAGCTCGACCAGGATAGTCGTGAGTCGCTGGCGTTGATAAACACGCTTCGCTGACTGATGTAGAGCAGTGTCGTCTTCCACCTCCGTCCTGCTGCTCCCCGTCGCTTCCGTCCCCCTCCGAGCCGTCTCGTGTCCCTGGGGCGTAGCATTCCTCGTGCAGTCGGATGCTGATGGGAGAAAGGGGGAGACGCGGGGCCTCTTGCCGTCCTAGTCTCCAGGTTCCCAGAGCAGCCGGCGTTTCGAGAAGCCGGTGCTGAATGGTTTGCGGCTGCGTTTCTGCAGGGCGCGTTGTTGGCCCATGTACAGGCAGTAGGTGACAGGACTTGTTCCCAGCCATGAGGTTGAGAAGTAGGGCTGAGGTTCGAACCCAGGTCCTCAACGCTGCTGCTGTTTCTGTTGCTGAGCTGGCCAGTGTCGGCAGCCAGGCGGTCCAGTCTCGGGGGCAGGCGTTCGACGTGCCGTGCTCTTCATGTGGCCCCAGCGGGCCGGTTCTGGCAGGACCAGGCGGTGTTCCCCGGCTGAGGGTTTGGTCCTTGGCTATGTCACGGCGTGTTCTCGGGACGCAGTGGGGTCTGACCCTCCCGGGGCACGCGTGCATAAATGCCCAGTGTGGCTCTACGTGGACAGACCCATGGGGGGTCGCCGTCCTGGCATTCCTCACAGTGGCCGCTGCAGGGCTTTCGGGATCAAGACTGGTTTTCTTGACATGTAACCGGCCTTCGCCCTCAGGCTTAAGCTGTTAGGAGTTGGGCTAATCTAACCGTTAACTTTTGGTCTCCTGACGTCACTTCTCTATGGTTTTATGAAACCAAATTGCTTCTGGTCCGTGCATTGGAAACGTGTGGGTTATTCCCCCAAAGGCTTAGAGCAGCCTGGCATGCCGGCAGGCCTGGGAGTTCGCTGGCTCAGGCCACGTCGGATTCCGAGGCGGGAAGGAGGGACCCGAGGTTCGGGTTGGTCGGGCACCCTGGCGAGGCAGCGCCCGTCGCCTTTCTCCCATCGCTGGAGTGCGTGGTTGCTGCCGGCCAGGCCTGTGGAGCTGCAGAAGCCTTCCTGCCCCAGCCAGGGTCCAGCCTTGATGGTGAAAGCTTGGGGGTCACAGCGCTGTCCCCACTGTGAAGAGCTGGCCCGTGGCGGGGCTGCTCTGGGTTCAGCGTGAGTCTGAAGGTGTGCTGGCCACCCGCTGTGCCTGGGCCCAGGTCGCCAGCCACCTTTGTGGCTCCCAGGGGCAGCGTGCTTGGTGCAGACTCAGGTGGGTTCTCCCTGCAGCCCACATGGCGCACTGCAGCAGGGCGGCCGATCCGTGAGGGTCCGTGTGGCAGACGTCCACAGCGAACCAGAGTGGCAGGTGTGTTCAGATGCTTCGGAGCTGAAAACAGAAGTGTTGTTCTCTCTTCTCTCCCTGGGCCTGGCCCTGTCCCAGTGCTCAGTGGGACACTGTCATCCAGGGGGCACACATGGCTGGCGTTGGGTCAGGCCATGTCCGGCCTGGGTGAGAGGACCGCTGTCCCTCTCGCCCCTCAGTAACCGTTTAGGAAGTGATGGTCTGTGACCAAGAGCGCCGAGAGGCACAGCCCTGTGGGAGACAGACGAAGTTGACACTGCTCAGATGTGGTCAGTGCCAGGCCTGGGGTGTCTCCCAGGAAGAGAAGAAGCCTGCGGGACAGCCATGAGGGGTCTCGGCAGGGGAGGGCATGAGGCAAGGTTGCCTGTGGGACATACCATCATGCAGAGGCAGACACGCAGGTCCCCTGTGACGGGTGACAGTCCCTCATCCATGCGCAGGCCCTGACCGTGCACTGAAGGAGTAGCTGTCAGGCAGCGGGGCTGGGGAGCGCGCCTCACGGAGCGGTCACATGTTCCCTGCCCGAATCTTCAGGTCTGCGTCTGTGTCCCGGGGCTACATCCCCCGTCCAAGGTGGAGCCAAGGCAGCCCTGTCTCCTCCTCCATCACACCCATCGGCCTCCAGGAGTGCCTGCACCACCATCCTCCAACACAGCGCATCCCCCACCGGGTGACGCGTGGCACAGCGAGGCATAGGAGGTTTCTGGTGAGGGCCCTGGCCCTCAGGTGTGCAAGGCGGGAGCTGGCCTTCCTGGACACTCAGCTGAACCCTCTCCACACAGGCTCTGGGGTCGGGGAGCAGGACGGGGGCCTGATCGGTGCTGAGGAGAAGGTGATCAACAGCAAGAAGAAGGTGGACGAGAACATGGTGAGCCCAGCGCGTAGCGTGTGAGCGTTGTCTGTGTGGCGGGCGTCAGCTGCGCCAGCTGCCTGGGCGGTGGTCTCCATGTGGTCAAGGGGGGCTCCAGCTGCCCCACCGACGGGCCGTATTGCCGAGCCGCAGGTGTGAGAGGATTAACGCCCTCTCGTGCTGCAGCAGGAGGTTAGAGTTAGGGTAGCAGAAGACGTGAATAACCCACAAGGGCAACTCAGGAAGTTTGTGGGGGGTGGAATTAAAGCATGGGTTTATTTTGGTGCCAAAAAAAAAAGAGAGAAAATTGAAATCCGTACATAGGTTTTTCAAAATACACACTTTCCACACTTTTTAAAGACCCTCTATCTTGAGGCCAGCAATGGCATGGTGGTTAAAGCGCTGGACTCCCACATGGCTGGCCACAGTTCAAGTCCTGGACCTGGTGGTCTGCTTTCTCTCTCTCTCTCTGTCTCTCCATTTGTCCTGGTGAGCACATGTTCCCCTATAGCAAGTTTGAAAACAATAATAAGGGACCAGCAGGTGGCGTGGTGGTTAAAGTAGTGGACTCTGCATGGCTGACCGTGGTTTGAGTCCTGGGCCTGGTGGCTTGCTTTTCCACTTTCTTTCTTTCTTCCTTTCCTTCTCTCTCTTTCTCTCTCTGTTGAGTGCATGAGCCCATAGCAAACTAAGAAGTAATAATGATTAATAAAATTAAATAATTATTTTAAAAATGATAATTTTTTTTAAAAGACCCCTTTTGGGGGACCAGCAGATGGCATGGTGGTTAAGGTGCTGGACATTCCCACATGGCCGACCATGGTTTGAGTCCCTGACCTGGTGGCTTGCTTTCTCAATTTCCTGTTCTCTTTCTGTGTCTCTCTCTGGTCAAATTAAAACAAGAGAATAAAATTAAATAAATAATTCTTTTTTGAAAAAAGAAAGACACCCCTTGTCTTAGAGGTTTATTACCATGAAGGTGGAATAGTTGGTTTGGTTCTTGTACTGTCTCAGGTCTCTGCCCCCTTTGTTCTTTTTTTTTTTTTTTTTTTTTTTAATTATTTATTTATTTATTTATTCGTTCATTCATTCATTTTTAATTTGACCAGAGAGAGACACACAGAGAAAGAGAGAAAGAGATAGAGGAAAGTGAGAAAGCAAGCCAACACGTCCAGGACTAGAACCGTGGTCAGCCATGTGGGAGTATCCAGCACCTTAACCACCACGCCACCCGCTGGGCCCCCCCCCTTTGTTCTTCTAGCACTTTCTGTCACTTATGTTCCCGGAGTCTCCTTGGTCAGATGTGGTACTGAGACTGGGCTGCTGGGTGACCTGTCCCCAAGGAGCATGCACATGGGAAGGCCCCTGAGGACGGGCTGCCACGCAGCAGCTCTACACCCACATGCATGTCCACTGGGGTCAGCAAGTGGGCCTGGGTGGGCGTGGCAGAACCGGTGGACAGTGGGTGTCCGGGGGTGTCTACTTCCTCCACCAGACAGTCCACGGGGTAGAAAGGAGTCGTGCTGGGCCAGCAGGTGGCGTGGTGTTTGAGGAGATACACTCGCACACAGCCGACCATGTTTTGAGTCCCAGACTTGACGGCTTGCTTTCTTACTCCCCCTCTCTTTCTCTCTGGTCAAATTGAAGAAGAATAATAAAAACATACAATTAAATAAATAATTTTTTTTAAAGAGAGATTTTTGCTATAGGGTGTGCACACTCACCAGAGAGACAGAAAGCAAGAAATAACCCCCGGGGGGATGGCCACGCCGCAGTCCCTTCTCCATTCTCCTCTCGGGATCTTGGGCCCACATATACATGTGCCAGGTGTGTTTCAAGTCACTGGGTCCAGGATTCAAACCATGGTCGACTACAGGGGAGTCCAGCGACGTAACCATTGCGCCATCTGCTGGTCCCAGTAAATATTATTTTTAAAAAGAAGCCGCACTGTCCCTGATTCCCCTCGCACCCATGCATGGGTCCCTGATGTTCTCATGGCTGTTTCAGGTCGTCGATGAGACTCTGGACGTTAAGGAAATGGTCTTCAACGCCGAGAGGGTCGGAGGCCTAGAGGAAGAACCGGTGCGTGTAGCCCTGACCCTTGTGCGGGCTCCTGTGAGCCTTAGCTGTCCCTCCCCTACTGCTCAGGCAAGTGGAAGGTGGGAGACGGCCTGAAGTTTCATACAGGGCCCTTCATCCTCATTCTCCCATACTTTGGGGCAAGAATTCAAATCTCCCTGGAGGCGGGAGATGGCTGTTCTCTGGTGGACAGCATCTTGTGTTGCCATGGCCTTCAAGACTGACCTTCTGGGAGCATGGCCCTCGTGAGTTCCGTGGCCAGTTACTGGTGGTCACTGGGCCTTGTCCCCACAGGAGTCCATGGGGCCGCTGCGGGAGGACTTCAGCCTGAGCAGCAGCGCCCTCATCGGCCTGCTGGTCATCGCAGTGGCCGTCGCCACGGTCATCGTCGTCAGCCTGGTGATGCTGAGGGAGCGGCCGGAAGGCACCATCAGCCAC